GACTGAACCTTGACTCAGAAAACTGAGTCATTTTTTGTTGAAATATCTAGAGTAAACAGGAAGGATCATGTCAAACCACTAACAGAAAAAGTAGAATTTAAGATAGGCTAGCTAAACAAGTTTCACAGGACACATTCTGCATGTTAAGGGGATTTAAAGTGAGGCAAATTAAATACTAACATCAATAACTGAACAAGATTGCTTTTCAGTACCATCCAGATTTTCAAAGACTAACACCTTCCTGGAATACATGGACATACACACTCAGAGATGTGCTTTTGCTCCACTGTCAAAATTTAATGCAGACACTAAATGCATGAAGTAGCACAACACTTAATATTTTTAAGTTGGCCCCCACATGCCACAGGTTTTCCTCCTTACTCTGAAATCTAAGGAGAAATCATTGACACCCATTATTAAAAAGGCCATAAGTTAAGGCTTATATGGCTCCCAATGTGCATTTTATGTCTCAATTTTCAGTAATCATAAAGAAAACATATTTTCAAGGCCCTACCCTTGCTAAATTTCAGACTCCTGCAATGAAAAAAAAATGCATCGGTGCAATTAAATGACAAGGAACAGGACAGAAAAAAATGAAAGTAACTCTTTACTCTGTTTGGCCGGTGCCCAGTACAATAGAGCCTTGTCTTCTGACCAGGCCTCTTAGTAACTACCAGCGGCAAGTGGCATGCCTACACAAGGTCACGGATGCACACGCAGCATAGACAGACTGTCTGAAATAACTACATGGAAACCAATTTGCAAAGCCACTAGTAATACAGAAGCAGAATCCCTTTTAGATGTACCTGCAGCAGAAAACTAAAGTTTCTGCTGCACGTGCCCCGCACATGGGTATCCAAAAGAACTATATTGGCACCTTCCGTTGGCCAAGTGCATTGAGCAAACCTGGAAGAAAGCATTAACAAGCATTACTGAAATATAAGCTTTTGACTAAGTAAACTTAATCCTTGCCATTTATTTACTTGATAGAACCTCTTCTCTATCTCACAAAAAAAAAAAAAAGGAGATTATGCAATTTGTGTCACAATATAATTTGAGTTCCAGTGCTGTGAGCATCTGACATGTTCACAGGGTTAAATGAGTTGGTCACACACCGGATGAATAATGTTTATTTCCCTTAGACACCATGACCATCTAAGGCAGACCATTTATTAAGTGGCAAAAGCCATTAGTTTTCTGGGAAAAGAAAAAGCACATCTTTTCCTAGCAGCAGCCTTGCCACTGCTTATACAATTCACAACTTCAGACGAAAGGTACCACATGATATTCAGGTGCTGCACCTTTAAGGATAGTTCACAGACACCGTTCTCTGCTCTGGGAACCAAATCTTTCAACTGCTGGGACTACACTGAAGCACCTGTTAAAGAGAGGACTGGTACATGATACTCAACTCCATCAACTGCTTTGTGAGTGAAATCAGGGGTCAGCAGCCCAACGGCTGAAAGACCCTTCTGTAAAGTTTCAAAGCGCTTCTTTGGCATGAATTTGTTTCTGCCTGCATGAGACTAGTCTCTCTTCCAGATTACTTATGAAAATCATTCTTTCCTGTTGCAATCCTCTTATTTCACGGAGTATGAAAAGAGCATTTGCAGAATACGGGGAGATGGATTTTCAAAGGCTCAAAGGGCAGCTTGCTGCACAGCCTGCCCTGAAAGCCTGTGGGAAACCAAGCTCTTATTTTCACTTTTGAACAAAGAACAGAATGCAAAGCTGGCTGCAGGCTCTACAGCCAATCCAGCAGAGTCAACTGCCAACGCATTGGTTTTAAGTCTATCCCACCCGCACTTACTGCAGATAAAACAGTACAATCCTGCTTGCTCTTTTAAGTACTGTAAGTGGCTCGGAGCCCTACCTGTGAAGCTGGACTTAAAACCAGGAGGAGGAGGTGCCTGATGACTCTGCCAGGAAGGCCTAGAGAATCCATCACTGTCACCAAAACTCTGCTGAGGCTGCTGGTTACTGAGGAAGAGCTTGTATACTCCAAAAGCAAGAGCCAGAAGAACTATTATAACAATTGCTCCAGCACCAGAATCCGAAGAATCCCTCCTTGACTGATAATAGCTAGAGCCGAAGCTTCCAGAGTTCTTCACTTTCCTTTCACCTTCCTCAGTCAGCTCTAGCCTGAACAGCAAACTACAGGAGCCTCTTAAGATGTAAGGATCATCCGGATAATCGTAGCCTTCACAGCTCACTTCGATTCGTCCAAAACGGTAGGTATTTTCCAAGTCTGCTTTGCATTGCCACTGAAAAAATAAACACAATACAAAGTAAAACCTCCTGCTTCAGAGTTGAAAATACCTGTCTGCTTCCCCAACTATGCTCTGAAATAAAGCCATAATTGCTAACAAGTCATCTAAAAGGCCACAGGGTAAGAAATTTCTGAGCACTCTTATTTTGAAGAGGATTAGGAATTTGAAGTTAACTAAGAATGTTTTTTAAAATTCTAAAACTTAAAAAAAAATCCAATCCTTCAGAACACAGAGGAGTTATAACTCTGGCAGATTTTGTTTTTCTTCACTGGACAGGCTTTTCAAGTATCCCTTCTTTAGGTATAGGACTACTTCTAAAAATAACCTGTACCCTGTGCAAGAGTTACTTAAGAAACGCCTGTCGCATGTAAAGTGAATGATAGCTACAAAAACTCCATATGGAAGCCTGAAATCCAGCACACCTGATTCCATTTGTGTCTGCACAGAAATTAAAAGAAATTGGGACAGACATCTTTAGGCATTCATATGCAGCACTAAACAATCAGATTGTGATACTGCAGTTGAATATGTGTAGATTCCTTAGTCCTGCTTCCTTGAAGTATCTGCACTCAGGTATCACCTGTAACCGCAAATGACACATATTCCGGGGGTGCGGGATAGCTTCTAAATTAATAATTCAGGACAGCAGTACTAACTTCCAATTCAAATTTGACTGTACTTTTATAATACTGCATCAGTTTTAAGTTATCTTCAGCCTTGATTCCTGGTTAATCTATTGGCAGAAGCCTAGGTAACAGCTAACAAAACAGAAATACATGACTATTTACTGACTAGTACTGACGTACTAACATGCAAGAGGAAGTCATGTAAGTCTGAAATTTGGTTTTTAAAAGGCAGAGCTGAAGTCATGCAAATATTTATAGCTCTTCCTACTCTAATGAATGGAAATCCACGTAACACTATCAAAACAAGAGCATCCTCTGGAGTTCAGAAGTGTTTTTACATTAGAGTCTTCAGGGATATTTCAAAGATATACCTACAGAAGTTCCAGAAAGTCCAAATCCAAAAAGTATTTAGGTTAAGTTCCAGTTGTCAAAGGTCCCCTAACAAAAACCAAACTGAACTGACACCCTAGCCCATTACTCTTTTCTCCTGCAGAAGTTACCAAGCCTGGGGTAAGATGATTTCATTAAACATTTAACAAGTTTTAAACTGTTACCTGTACATCATAGCCATCCCAACCTTTGTTGTAACACTGAACAACCTCAGGGACACGGGAACATCCAGCAGTGCCTCCTGTGCACTGTAACTGAGGGACGGCAGCTGTCCGCCGGGACGTCGTGTACTGACCTCTGTGGAGAGTGAGCGCCTGTACCTCCCTCAGCAGGACCCTCCCTGAAACAGGTAGCACAAAGGTCAACGATTGTCCAGATGCGTGTCCCTTCGTCCCCTTTCAGGAAAAGGCTGGCAATACAAATGACGCAATAACGTGCTTCTTCAAGAGGCGAAGCTCTTAAGAGACATCAGACGCTCAGAGGGGAACACGGTAGAGCTCCCCGTCTGCTTCACAGAATCACAGAATCATTATGGTTGGAAGAGACCTCAAAGATCATCAAGTCCAACCGTATACCTGATGCCACCCTGTCCACTAAACCATGTCTTGGAAATGCCACATCTAAACGTTTTTTGAACATCTCCAGGGACGATGACTCCACCACCTCCCTGGGGAGCCCGTTCCAACGCCTAACGACTCTGGAGGGGGCTCCAGGTTACTCCCCTCAGTCTACAACCACCACTGACCGCATAGCGGGATTATTACTGTGGCACAACTCGATTTAAAAGGAGCCCGAACCAAAAACACTTTCGGGCGGAGGCCCC